CCAGGTGACTGGTTTTTCACTTGAGTTTGATTGAATCAAAACGTGAATCGTGTTTCCTTACGTCTGCCTGGATATTGTTTACCCCTGAATGTGGTTTCTTCCCGGTTCGTTCAATGGAATGCAAGTTGCTCTCCATCCACTTTATCTGGTAGATAACATTCTTTTCGTTGGTTCGTCTGACTCAGTATTTTCGTTTCAGAATCAGACTTTTTAGGATGGCAGTCGGGTAAGGTTTACTGCCTACAAAGCACTTCAGATGGTGAATTCCACATTGAAATCGATGAAAAGCGAACGTCAGTCTATCCTCAACAGTATTGGACAACAGATTGATCGAGCTTTGAACTGGAGAAAATGCTTGAACTATTGAGGAGTTTGTCCCTTGTTCAAGTAGTTCAGGCTGTTTTGTGGGTGAGTGGAATGAACACAGAACCAAGACAGGCGGTGGTTCCAGCTATCAGGGCTTGGGATTGGAAAAAAATTACTTTGATGCCCAATGAAGTACGCTGTTAAACATTCGTTGGATGGCCCGTTAGCAAATATCTTCATGCTTGAATGTTACGAAGCATGAGGAGCTTGCATGTTAGGAAGCGTGAGGCCTTGACAAACTCGCCGTCCCAATGCTACTCATGAGTAGCTTAATTAGGACGATCAATGCGGCAGATATCATGTGATCGCTCCGCCAGTCATTGGTAAATCATCGGACAAAATTCCCGACGAACCTCTTATGATGGAAATCTCATTTTGAAATAAAGAAGTATAACTAAAATACCGGTGTCCGAAGAAACTTGCACACATAGGCCATCTCATATCTTGGTCCCCTAGATCCGAGTCTACATGTTCACTCAAGTCAGGTCTCAAGTCAGGTCTTACCGCCGGCCGTAAACGCTCACTTGCCAGCGAAAGTAATGTCCACCTCAACTGATTTATGCACATAATCTTGGGACAATTGTGAATTGAGGATCCGGAAACGACTTTGATAACCATTATTGTCATTAGTGGTTTGTAAGACCAACAACAAACAATTTTAGTTACCACTTTTCTAAACAATTTATGTTATAGAGAATATTCTCTTTTTCATAAAGGAAACTACTCACAAAGTTGCTGAAAACTCTTCGACAACCCACGACCGGTTTTGCTCTTGTTGGGGCTCATCAGGTAGGCGCAGTCCCCAAGTTTCTGTCAATCTTATGTTCTACTTGATTATTCCCTTGTTTCCTAGGGTTTGAACCATTTTTTGGAGCCACAACTGACCCTCTTGTGATTCAAGACGAACTTTCTCTAATTGTGGTTTAGAAACTCAAAGACGAACCACCTTGCTCCAGTTGGCCGTCGCACGATTGAAGAGGTTGATCTGAAGAGTTGGGTCTGAGGAAAACAACCGTGCTCATCCAGGGGGGAAAATATGTAAATCAGAGCCTATAACAGATGTGTCGCGCATCAGTACTGAAATTCCGGCTGACAACAAAAACTGCTTTGCGCAAGTTTGCTTTGAAAACTATTCACAGATATTGAACGAGTACCGCCGGAGTAACGTTTCTCAAAATGAAAAACAATTTTTGAACATGCATGCAACAGGCATGCAACAGAAGGCTCTTTAGAGCACACAGAAATGTTGGGCTAATCTGATCATTTTCATCTTTTCCCCTTCATCATTATCATCATCATCATCATCTTTCATTAGAAGGCATGTATGACAGTGCATGCATGTGTGTATGACTGCGTATTGTGGTTCACATTGAGTCGGAAAAACACGTAACGACACGGGTGCAAAAGCACACGCGGCCAACTGGTCCACGTTCGTGCTGGATAAGCAAATGAGTCATGTATCCAGTCGACCCACAACGGTCACGCGATCAAGTCGATCGGACACGCACTCAATCAACCACCCAAGTCACACGCCAGATCGATGATGGAACGGCCACCCAAGTCACCGCCAGATCGATGATGGAACGACGAACGGACACGCACACGCGCAAACTCACTGACACACCGAAGCAGCTACTACACTGTGCATGACTGACGTTCTAGAACGACCGTTCGATGTGGTGATTCTCGTTATAGGACTCCTTTGGGGCCCAGAATAATGCAACAGTGAAAAATAAGTTTATCCAGGTGATACGTAAATGCTGGAAACTTCACTACCTGAAAAGGGATAAATATTTTCCGTGCCTTAAACAATGAATTTCATGTTCTACCGCTATTCAGTGCCGTCTTTTCACCCTGTTTTAATGCTTGAAATATTTCCAACCTACTTTCTCATTTTTATGTCTACCACAAAATATGCATACTGGTTCTCATTTAACTGGGACAAAGAAGGCTGGAAGTTTTTCGAAAAGTGGACACGACGCCCCTCCACTTAAAACCTTCTCATTTGAATTATGGAGACGATCGGATTCACCTAGAAAGATAAAATTTGAACTTGCGCTCACGGGCAAATGCGTTACTGCAATGAGATGACTGACGGTATCGGGCTTGTAGTGCCGTAACGTTCTAGGCAGACGATATTTAAAAAAACCACTGGTAGCCATCTGGATGAAACGACGGAAGTTTGTTCACCTATGATGGGTTTTTCCCTAAGCATTTGGTTATTTTCCAAATGCATTTTCCCGCCAATATCTGTCCATCTTTCAATTGTTATCAAGCTCCACTGCCATTGTCTACGCAAACACACACCCACCCTAACAAGACGAAACAAAACAGTTGATTGGCAGTAGTCTCTTAGCCAAGTCCTCGTCGTTACTGGAATGTTAAAAGTCTGAACGTGTCCTTTCATATCCTACTTCTGGTCCGGCGTGTTTTTCGGTTTTATGCTCCTGGCATACAGTAGTTCGAGCTGAGTGGTTTTCAGATAGTTTGGATGAGAAAAATCTTAATTGCCGCCGCATTTCTATAGTTTCCATTCACATTTCACTTAATCAATTGACAATTTGCTTATGAATAATCCCGATATAGTTCCGGCCACTTGCTTGCCATTCTAAAACTAAATTCTGAAACCGTGGATTTTCTGGTTAACCTGGACAGCCTCTGACAGGGTTTGTGCTAGTCACAATCCTGGACTATGGAGGATAAATCTTATGATGGGCCTCCATGTGGTGAACTTAAAAGCATTTGTTTGCACCACTAGAAAGTGAATTTATGATTGGAGCTCTCATACATCATCGAATCGCTTAGGTCGTTAGCGCAACAACCAATTGGAAGAACAGCTGAATTCAAATAGAGAACAATCTGGAAATTTGTTTGATTATTATAATCGGTGGCAACAAAACCCTTCACAAAGCGTTGGACCACCAGAGCCCTGGCGAAACAAGAATGATATGCACAGAAATTAGTGGGAATCAAGAATTCCCGATAAGTGTTTTGAGTCGTTCACAGGCCGCGGGCTGATCGTATTACCTAGATTACCGAACTTTGTTCGGAAGACAGTATATAGCAGCTGAAAACTGCAAATGGGTCACCAAATAGAGCCAAAAAGTCCAGAGAATAAGCTCATAACTGGTTTTCACCAGAGATTCAACTGAATCACTCGTTTATGATATTCTACAACTGAATGTGCTGCCTCATGATTCAATCGCGACGACATACCATAAACGAGAGATTCAGTTGAGTCTCTCGTGAAAACCAAATTGATTGGCAAATGAGTATATTTCCCGAAAACAGTCCAATTCGGGTTCAAGTAGAACATACGGTTGACGAAAACTCGGGGACTGCGCCTACCTGATGAGCTTCAAGAAGGGCGAAACCGGTCACGGAATGTAGAAGTGTTTTCAGCAACTTTCTAAGTAGTTTCTTTTATGAAAATATGCGTGCTTCTTTTCATCTTGGTACCCCTTCATTTAGATTCAATTCTTTCCAAAGTCTATCCAAAGCTTATGAGAAAGTTTCACCGAAATCCCGTGATAGTTTCAGCTTTCCGAATCTCAAATGTTCTATAATTGAATTGGATGAATAAGAACAGAGCAAACATTGCAAAATATCGGTGGGTAAAGGATATTGCATAACGATCACGGACAATTTAGAACTACTCCAACTATACCAACGTATGTGGTCGCCATGACTTTGTTTTCCCTCTAACATTCGCTGACGGATTAATAGCCCAGACGTATCTACATTAAGTTGTTTCTTGACTGATAAACGTGTCATCTTTTCTTATACTTTCTCGAGGTTACGGAAAGCAGATTTTGAACTCTAGCACCCCTTGCGTTATCTTTTGTTTACACTAGTTCAGCCCGGCCAGATTTATAATGAACGAGCTCCAAACATCAAGCGTTCTAACTTTGTGAAGCGCCGTGATGAAATATTACTTCATAACATGCATTCCCCGGTGTATGTAGAACCTAGGTAGACGACTGAAAGTGAAGAAAACACATAACTTGTTGTCTAGCATCCCTCAGACCATTTTCAAAAATGGTCCCCCGACGATAAACCTGGTTGTTTTTGTGTGCAAGCGAACAATGCATATTTCGCGGCGCATAGAACAGTCTGCCCTATACCAATACATCAAAATAATCTCATTCGGAACCCGAGCGTGCATTCAGCTCACCGATGTAGCAAACGAATTACGGGAAATTTGCCCATGTATAACTCAACTGAGAATTCCGCTGTCAGAAGCTACAACTATTCATTAGTAGGTGGGTGGCATCTGCTTCAATTGTAACGACATCCAAGATATCAGTGTATGTTTTGACACCGCTTGAAAACCGGACGGAGTAAGCCCGTGTGGTCTTCATCTGAAAGTGTTGCAAAATTGTCGGCAAGCGTTTTGTTTGAAACGATACTAAAGAGCACTATTCTCGATAAAATGTCATCTAATTGGACGTAGTCCGGTCGTTGGCTTGTTCGCTGAGCTGGGCAATTTGGTTGCAAACGTCTCACCACCAATCAAGGTGACATCATCAGTGCGTTGTTGGGCAGCGTAGTGGTACGTAGCGGTCGGCAGTGTTGAGTGTGCGTTGAGTACTGTTACGTGTGTGTTAATTTACGTGCTGCTAGCCGGTGGTGGCCGTTGATCGCGATCAGCTTTTCGGT